TTATTATAAAATAATTAAAATAAAATTTATTTTAATAATTCAATTAAATTTTTTTAAATTTTAATAAATAGGGAGAAGAACCCACTTATAATCGGATAGTGCCGCTCCTAACGCTCGGCGGCGCTGGCCCTAGCGGCTGCGGCGCGCGCGGTAAGAAGAGGAAAGGAGGCGTATATCACGGAAATCGACTGAAATGTTCAGACTAATTCCGAGCACTGGTCTAAATGATCGCGCTACAAATCCGCGGCCTTGCGGCTCGCGCGCACACGCGCGCGGCGGCACGCAAGAGTTGGATAAATCGTTATATGTTAACGTCCGTCACGTAAAATATGCTATCTCGTAGTGACCTATTTTTCGTAACGATCCGCGCCGAGGAGGAACCAATATTTCTACCTAGCTAGTCTGTTCCTTTAATCTTATGTTTCGCTCGATCACGAACTTACCGGGATTTTATCAATGCATGTGAATGGATAAGTACGATTACCTGAATGAAAAGCAGCTATAATATCTAGAATCATCAAATTGTAAGCAGTCGCGTGCTATTCGTACATTTCGATTTAAACATCCATTCCCAGTCTATCGAGGAATAATGTGAGGATTCAGCTATAAACACTGATAGCTATAAACACTTTCCAATACCTTTCTCTGTTGTTTGAACAAAGAAAATGTTTAAAAATAATTAATAAAATATCCACATATTAATATAAATATATAACACAAATTTTTCATAAGTTTATGAAAATTGCATCTGTGGTTTATTACATCTTAATGTATTCTGCTCAATTTTTATTCTCCCATAATTATACAACATTCAAGATTTTAATTTCTTAAAAGGCAATAAATATAAATTTAATTTACATTGTTATTTGATATCAATTTCTTAGATTATTAAGAAATACATTTAAAGTTGAGCATTCATCGATTACTGTGCGGAACACTACGTTGATACTTCTGCTTTAAGGTTCAACCGTTATCGCGGCGTATTTAGTTAATTGAATAAGTGCACCGTAGAAATATAATATATTTAAGATGCAAATTAAATTGCGCGAGCAAATAAATGCTCTGCTGTCGCTGCATATAAGACACGGAGGAACGATCTGCGGTATTCGCGCGACGAGCAAAGAGAATACCAAGCGGCGTTCAAGCCTGTGAGGTGTATGAATCAGTCGTAAGCAAGTGTAACGACCCAATGACGTCAAGAACATTGCACAACAAAGCGGTAATCCCAACCGTTACATCGGCTTATCGATTTCTCGATTTCCTTCGAGAGCGTTTAAAAATGTAATAAGAGTATATAAGACTTTGAACTTCATTCATGGCTTCATCATTTTAATCCTTTATCTTAGTCCTTTGAGCGTTTCCAAAAGCTAGTCCACGTATAGATTTACTGTAATTCGATTAATTTGTCAGGATTTACTCATGTTTATTAACGTTCACCTAATTTCGCATCATCTTTTAATCCACATTTTTCATACATTTTATCGCATTTTAATTTTTTCGTCCTATTTTGTTAAATAATAAGCAAGGACTAATTTAGTGAAGTGAAGACATTGGATCGTTTTAAATCCAGGTTTGGTAATTCAAGGACTGTAAAAACCTGATGACAGAAAGGGCAATCGTTTTTAAGAACTACTCACTGATTCCGATAAATGTACGTTAATTTCTGATATCTTGACATTTTCTGTTCGTTCTGAAGAGAAAATTTTCTACTGAAATTGTAAAATATTCATGTATCAGTTATAAATTTTCGTTTTACTTCCTACGCTTCCTTGGTAAAATTCAATTCTAAGATTTCTAGTGGCAGGTTCCTTTTTCCGTAAGAGATATTGTGCCGAGCGATAAGAAATTGCTCTGACGTCATCGCGAGAGCCGCCTTCGTCAATGTTGATCGCGCCATTGCACTTGATTCTTTCGACGTGAAAGCGAACGGAGATAGCTGCGAATGAGTGAAAGTGCAACGCAATGGGAGCATGATGAAACATTAATTTCCCAAATCCGTGTTCTGTATCCTGCTTGAATACTTTGATGATCAGATTTTAAGTTCAAAGTCATGTGAAACCTTTCACGTGAATTGAATTAATTACAAATTCCAGGTTACAGTTTTCTCATGAGTTTTATCAAATACTTTATGATTTTTTAAATAAATTTGCGTGGATTTCTATCTGAAAACATTGGCTAGTTTATTGTAATATAATAAAGTTTTACTGTACTTTCGATCAAAACTGTTGTAAGTTATATTAATACTGTAATACTCCGCAGAGAGACAGAAGTCGAGAAACAATCATGATTCTTATGAGTTAACAATTAGTAATACTTGTGTCACTTCCGTAAATGTTCGAGGAACTTTGGAAAAATTCGCATCATCATGTGTCACGCGTCGAAAAATTCCTTCGCGATGCTTGAGTATGTAGCGTGTTTGAAATACGACAATTATTCACCCGTTTACGTAAGAATTATTACCCATTTAGAAGTCTCTATGTAACGCGAAATCATTCGTCTTAATTGATGCCACTAAGTCTGAAACTATGATTAAGTAGCTTCAATCCGAATATGTTGACAATTAAAACTTTTGACCGAAAAACTATTATGTCTCCATTTTATTGTTTTTTTTTTTTAATTATCCAGAAAATTGCAATAAATTCAAACTATTGTATCTTATATAATTCTTATTAATTTTTCGAGCTGCAGCTTTAAATGTCACCTGTAACAAGCGTTTGCTAACGTCACGACATTAATTAGTTTATGTGCATGATTATTTTGAAAATGATTTTTTCTTCTCGTAAACATACGTCATGGAATTATAATGTTTAGATGGGATCGTAACCAATCAAAAAATATTTTCCTGCCAATGTCTAGTTTGTCCTACGCCCGTGTTGCGATACAAAAAAATCTACGAAGTTACTGGACCAGAAAAGAACAGATAAACGCATGATTAAATTGATTATTGATCGATTAAGATTATTGTAAAATATCAGTGATAGGTATCAGCGTGTAATATAAATAATTAATGTGTCACTAATTTTATAAATGGAAATAACTGTTTCTCATTATCTTAAATTGGAAAGAAATGCTTTAATGAGCGCGAATACTATTTTTAATGTCTTTCTGTACACATTCCATTATTTATTTAGTTTTAACATTCTTGAAAATATAGCTTTGCGAGAAGGAAATTAATGCAAAAGTCAAAGATTTCATTAAGCAGAAAAACTTGCGCAGCTTGACCTCCGCGATCATTAATACATCCATTTATCTGTTCCCGAGTTTTTTGAAAAAAAAAAAAAGAAAACAAAACCTGATGCATAATTGGTTATCATCGTATGGCACTCCTCTCTCTCTCTCTCTTTCTTTCTCTCTCGTCATTGCGCAAAATGAGCATTCGCACTTATGCCTATCTATGAACAACGCGTGGCCGGTGCCCCGCGCGTACGTAACGAATGTGCATGCGGATAGTTTAAGGCCGCGCGAACGCGTATGCGTTGCACGCATAATCGACGCGGGCACTTTCTCGCACACGCTTCGCGGCCGTATATGCGCACGAGTGCGCGCGACCGCGAATCGCTCTTTCCTTCTGTCAGCGAAGATCGACGACCTTGGCCTCGTGACCATGAGCGCCGGTTGATTCGTTATATTAGCGCGCGGGCGCTACACGGTATTTCATACTTCCCGAGTGATACAGGATGATACAGGAGGAAAGGTCAGGAATACTTTGGGAAATGATAGTATCGCTCGATGCAGGCAAAAGTTCATATAAACATATCTAATTATCCGTTAGGTGTGTTGGCTGATATATGTATACCTCTTATTTTAATTCGGTTACATTTTCGCGTTGATATACGCAAGATATATTGGCAAAAAAAAAACGCTTGGCGCGTAGCACGTTTTAATGAACAATGCGGATGATGAAGAAATTATTAATATATTTATAAGAAGCTAAAAGTACTTCTATAATTTGAAACGTTAAATTTTTCTAGAAGGAATTTTTATGCTTTACATATGCGCACACGTGTATGATATTTTTTAATTTTTTTATAATGTTTTTTAATACGAGAACAAGAGATTGCAAGAAAAAACGTTGTAAATAGCTGCAATAATATGTTATTGATTTTCTTACGACATGTAATTATATGGTAATACATTATTTACAAACCTGTGTGTAAGCCTTCATTAGAAATAAATCAGTTAATCGCATGCATTATAGATAATGCATCTATATGCAAATTTTCCATGGCAATCTCCTTAGAAGCTATCCCGATATTGATGGAAAAATCGCAGAGCTGATGAAGATTGTCATAAATAATAAAAAAGAAGATGTACACAGACATATTACATTAAACGTCAATCAATTACACGCAATATTGATAGATAGCCTTCCCCACTTCAATCACATTAATAATAAGTGGCAATCGGAATGTAATGATCGAGATAAAAAACGATACGTCATACCTGTGGGTGGGTGATTAGTATGACACGATCGCCGGTAACGTAATATTAGACCACGCATTAAATTAGGATGAAGGTACAAACTGAGAACGGCTGGAGAACTTGAACGCGACTGCATGAGTCACGCTCACGAGTGTGACTCATGAGAAAATCGCCGGTGGAATCCGTGAAAACGTGAAACTAATCGCGCATCCACAATGCATGCGTAATATGTATAAACTGTGCAGAAAACTGGTTACACAGTCAAACTGACATCTCCCTCCGCAGCGATGCATGTCGGCGATCTGATAACAAACCACGTTGAACGCGTATTCGATTTTACAACAACAAATTGGCGACGAAACAACACGTTTCAGGTGAGAACGAGAAAATTTCCAGATTGCTCGAGATACTGAAGTGCTTCCGGAAGCAATAAAATGCGGAAAATTTTCTGGATATGTAAAAACTTTGCGATGATCTCACAACTTCTTCAAGTAATGGGTAGCAATGAGTATGCCATTACACGGATCATTTTCTCAATGCAAGGTCTTTGATGATTACTATTTATATTCTGCCACAGTTTATCGATGCTTCATCATAAAAAAAAAAAAACTTCCATCGGAAAATTTTAAGAAACAAAATATAATTTGTTTCACGCTTTGCGTGATATACGAGCATAAGTGAAATTATTTTAATTGTGCACTCAGATATTTGAATTGTGCGTAAATATAAAATTTGGCGACATGAATCATAATTATTCATCCATATATTATAATTTTGTAACAGGTAGATTTGAGTTTTATCAATATGATAAATGATGAAACAGAATTCTTATCTTACGTATTTCGATGCTTGGTATTAATGCGTATTGCATTATGACGAAAAGTACATAAATTAAAATTCCTCATATGGATTTTTCTTATATTGATCATAAATTAAAAATATGTGCAGTACCGTACATTTTGAGAAAGAAGAGAAAGATTGTGTTACATTAAATATTTATTTCTACTAAATTCGCATATCTTTTGCATTATATATTTTATTTATAAAGTAAGAAAGAAAATTCGATTAAAGTTTAGCGATAAATGATATTACTGTCTTTTATTTTTTATTAGAGATATTAAAGATTTCACAATTATAACACTAATCAAAATAAGACTAATTTAAAGATACTTTGCGAAATCTAGAACTTGATAAAATAGATTAATAGAACATGGATCTTAACGATCCGAAACGATTGAATCATCGCACAAACTACTTGATTTAACGCTTGCTTTCAATTTTATTTTATTTAGCTGAGATTTTATTCATTATTCTAACATTTTATTATTTTGATATCTCATAGAATCTTTGTTGCAAAACGGAAAATGTATTTTCATGATTGTTGCAAATTCTGATAAAAATTTTGTCTTTAAATTTCTTTCCATTTCTGTGAAAAATACGAGTACACGAGATAATAATTTATCTTGTTCTTAAAGGAATTAAATAACTAAATGACAATAATCCGTGTCTTTTATGTCAATGGAGACATCTGTAGAACAGACGATTAACCCGTTTGTACGCGTACGCAGAAACAGTGAGTCAAATCCTGTACCAGAAGAGACACGCGAATTTGCATAAATAGGAAACGTTTGACGTTGTGTGTGCTGCGTGTATCTGTGTGTGAAATTATGCAATAACAAACTTCTTTACCGATTAACAGATTCTTCTCTATCGACCGTGGAAAAAATACAAAGCGGCAAGAAATTGCGCCGTGACGAATTGAGAGTGAGAATACAGGTATATAAAGTATACAATAGTCGCTAGTGTCAGGATCATTATCGAGCTTTACGGCACCACAGCAGTCTGTAATAATAATCCATGCAGTAGCTGATAAGCTATTCTGAAAACGTAATATCGGCACCACGTGTCTGCAAAATCAAATCATAAAACTCATATCAGACTGTGCGATATAGATTGAAGATTGCGAATTGAAGATTAGAGTTTGACCTATCAGGGCAAAATGAGATAAAACTGAGACTACTTGAGACTACTTCAATTTGCAAGTCCGCCCAAAATAATATGCAATCAGTGCAGAAATATTAACATTCTGACTAATTAGAGCATTGATAAAAGTATTTAATAACTGTACTTTTAAATCGTAATTAGATGTGAGATGTGAGAAAAATTATAGACGTAATTATAAAATGTGTTTCGCATATAAACGTGTAAATGTGTAAATGTGTAAATGTGTAAATGTGTAACTGTATCTCGGTCAGTATGCAATTACAACTAATATTCTAATGAATTTAATTGAGTCTTGAACGGTAATCAATTTGCTCGATGCACTAATTAACTTTGATCGTGTGGATGTACAGTAACATTTTCTAATTGTATAATTCAACGCTATGTGATCATTGAAATACAAAATAATGTATTGCTAGTGAATAAAAACATTTTTTTATTTATAGAATTTCTGACAAACAAATTGACTTGATCTTAAAGATATTGTTGATCTGATTGTCAACAAATAGAAAAGGTATTAATTCTTACCTTTTTTAAAACTGACTGACACACTAAATGAGCTGAATTAAATATTAAGCTGATACAAACAAACGCACAAAGTCAAGAATATTTTACTATTCACAAGAGAGAGGAAAAAAAAAGAAATAAACGCGAGTAAAGGCGTCTTGTGCTTACGGCGCCAACGCGACGGACTAACTGCATGACATGCCTTGGGGCAAGCTCGAGTTATCGATTTTATACTTGGCGTAGACCTCCAGAAGAATTTGTCCCAATTATCATTGGTATATTTCTTATGATCGAATCTGACCGAGTCAATCAACATTTCTTTACAAAAATAGAAAATAAGTTATGCAACTAAATTATATAAGATGTATAAAGCGCGGATAAAGATTTATTTCTTATGTTAGTTTTTTTTTTTTTTTCAAAAGTACATAGCACAGCAATTTGTCAGAAATGCAAGAGATAATAGGAAAAAAATTACGCTCTAGATAAAATCTTTTTCTTACGCGTATAAATGTCAAACGGATAATTAATTAAAAAGCTCGAAATTACTTATAGAGAGAACATCTTCCGATGCTTCTATGTATACTTTTCACGGTATGTTTTGTTATTGCTCTAAAGGAAACTATTCTTTTTTTAGCCTCACGCGCGTCTTAATTGGCTGACGTATCCGAGTTATGTGTTTTTATTCGCCCACTCAATGGTAGGTGGCCATGCACGCGGTCATGCACGCTTTGTTGGAGAAAGCATCTGTTTCTACAGAATTCATTTTCGTCATGCATTAAAAATAGATGACATTAAAACAATCAATTTTAGATAATAACGCACAAGTAATCTATAAATTCTCATATCTCTATAAATTCCAACATATGTGTCACTGCTGACGTATAGCGCGAAAAGTGAATCACAATTTTATCGTCACGTAATAATTTTAATATTTATCTGTTGTCATAAATTGCATATGCAACTAAAATTCTTTATTTTCACAGTGACAAAGTTTCTGATAATCTAATGATTTTTTCCCCTTATATATGTATAAATTGTTTTCCGCAGTTAAGCATCTTTTATCGCTGTGAATCGTTATATTTTTATAATTATAATGTGTCACGTGTATCAACACAATATATCTATATAAATATCTTTCTATCGATAAATTGTCTCATAAAATAAATTTTTATTTTCAGACCGTTGTATATGAAAATATAGGCATGTTGCATGTGTTTAATTTCCATAAAGCCAGCGTCTGCATGATAAGCAATATTTGCTTGTAATGTATTGCGCAAATAAAAACGTCGAAATGTTTTGAATAATTAACATTCGAGTTACTAGATAAATTAAATAAAACCTTACTTTCCTCCTTTCATATATTAAATAAATTTAAAAAATTTGTACATTAAAATTTCTAAAATTATAATAAATTATGTGGACAATGAATATTTTAAATAATAGAAAAATTAAGCACGTCTTAAATTGACTGACAAATTAATTTTATATTAAATTAATATTGTATTATTTTTGTAAATTTGGCTTTAATTAAATTTAATTGCGAATTACTTTATATGGTTATTAAATTTAGGTATTTAAATCGTTCTCATGCGTGAAACATTTATACTGTCACAACTAGAGTCATTTAACATCGCCTTAAAGCTAATATCTCTTTACGTACGTGAAGATTTGTGAAAGGCCGAGCCCAGCCTAAGATCAATTCGATCTTTGCAAAAAATTATCGATACGATTTTTTATCCGCATTTACCAAATTTGCAGAAAATTAAAAATAAATGAAAAATGTTTTCAAGGACAAAACTTTTTCTAGAACCAAAACTTTAAAAGATATAGTGCATTTATTATTTACAATAATCTGCAATTTTATTTTTATCAAATGATGTACACGGAATAGCTCTATTTTTAGCAAGTAGTTTACTAAAAAAGATCAATGATGTCGATAACATTGTTAACTAATTATATACGCAAATCACTTCCTGTTGATGACTTTCTTGCGTAATAGCTTTATTTTTACATAAACAGTAGCACCAAATGCGTAATATATCCCAACCAAATCAATCAAATCAAAGAGTAAACAGTTCAACGTGCCAGATCAAACCGGCATGAATTAATTCATCGAAACATGCATAGGACATTATTATAATAAAATTCTAAGTCTTACTTTTTTCTCTCTTTCTCGATGACGTGTGTTTTTCGAAATCTTCTTTGGAACCAATGAATTTCCCTTGCCAGACTATGCACGGCCGAACATCTCCTACAAGCCGGTTGGAATCTTCCACGTCGATACGCGCGGACAGGAAGCAACCTGACGAACGTGAACGTACTGCGACTTCGTCGCGCGACTCGAAGTGTTCTTCACGCAGCTGGTATCTTTTCAAGGACGGAATAACGGTGTCACCGGCGCGAGAACGATACCGCAACGGCGCGTCGGGTCCACGGAGAGTCCCTTCTTGGCCGACACCTTAGGATTGCTCTCGATAATTTTTGTCCTCGGGAAACGTGACTCGAAGTCTTATCGCGGCACCTGCGACAGAAAATGATCCGCGCGCAAAATCTTCTTTTTTCTGCAAAAGCGTGAAGATAGCGTCGACCAGGAAGCCCGCGGAGTAGCGAACGAAATGATCGTGCCGAGGAACGGACGGCCGTGGTGAGAGGCCGTATAGAACAACGCTGTTGAATATATCGGTCTAACATGTTTGTCGGTATTAGTATGAGCGTGTAGGTGCGCCTCCTCCGCGCTAGTATGTAGATATGTGGCTTTGACGTGGACGCCTGGTGGGGCCTTCACGCGCATTTCCTCTCTCACTCTGTCATTCTTTCTCATTTCGTCTCTCTCTTTCTTTTCTAAGCAACCTTTATATATATATATATATGGAAAGTAGCATGCGGGCGTATACACGAACCCACGCAATATGGGCGCATGAGACTGTGCCTCGGAGAGCGAAGCGCCGCAAAGATAGAGAATTCGCCAAATTTCTGACAATGATAATAAAGTGACGTGATCACTCAGATTTGTTTTTTACTTACCATAGTAGTTTGCGATACAGCAGATAATTGCAGATCCCAATTGCTATAAACAATGCAATATGCAAATTACGGAAAGAATGCAAAAAAATGCAGAGAATTTCATTATGTGCATTCTAACAATTCTAACAATAAAAAAGTTTAGTAATAATTGCAATTTTTTGCGTTGTGATATTTTATACATAATTAAAACATTGTTTAGTCCAATTTGTATTAAATGTTTGTCAGTACATTACATGTATCTGAAAGATTTAGATTCTTTTAATTTTTCGTTTGATAACGCTCTGAAAATTTTAACATAATAGTTTTTTTTTCTAAATTATTATTGCTGATAATGTGTATTTATATATTATGATTTAAAAAATTACAATAATATTAATATATTTTATTTTCACATTACAAGCATAGTTTATGAGTAATGCAATCGAGTTGCATAGAAGATATGCCAAGACTTACGTAATAATTACTAATCAGCAGGTATTTACTAACCGCTCCAAAAACATCTATTATTAACCAAACTGTTTTACGTACAAAGTTTCCCAGATAGTCAAATGTTAGCTAAAATTTCATTAATTTGTTATCAATATGCCAACATTGCAAACATTTGACTATCTGGGTTCTTTGTAATTTATAATCTTTTAGTAGCAATTATACTAATTTTATGTTAATTAATAAAAATATAAATAATTTTTTTTATCAAACCTCTTGTATTTTTAAAGGTTTGAATATTGCTAATTAATTTCTTGTGATATAATCCATTCATTATTTTAATCCATAAATGTGAGAAAAATTACGCGCAAATACGAAATCGGTCTTACACATATCAATATATACTTAATAGCATTTTCGAATGAACGGATTTTGATTCATCGCAGAACAGTTAATCACTATTTTATTATGAATTCAAGTCTTAATGGAGACGATGCAATGACGTCATCAATCGACTTTAGATTGATCAAAATCCGTTTACTTGAAAACGTTATAAGATTCCATAGCTTTATTTGCTGTTGCGCAAATTACATTGATGTATAAGACACTGTAAAAAGAAGAGTTCCTGCAGTCAGTCTAAATTTAAAAGCCTAATTCCATTTCTGATGGCTACCGTTTTCGCATGTACCTATCGCATAGATCTAAAATTAACCACCTACTGTTTTGGACCGAACTAATCATATATCCAATGTTACGAAATGTTTGGAAGTGTTGAAATATTCTAAAACGATGCTGCCTACTCAAGTTGCCTCGACAAAGTAGGAATGCAGTGAGCAAATATCTCACGCATAAGTATGCCTCTTGTTCATGCATAAATCTTTTGGCAAAGATGAATACTTTAATAAAATACGTAGCAATTTTATTTTTCATTAAATTATTACGCACGCAATAGTTGTGTAGTTTAATTAGAATATTATCTCACCTTAACGTTTCCATTTATGATTTTATTTTTACATGATTTATGATTTGAAATGCAAACATTATAAGTGTTTTCATCGCGGTATAGTTTACATGTGCAATAAACTGGGAATTTACTCGGATATTTATTCTATCTGGGAAATCCCGCCCAGCCTTCGGTTATTCACAAACATAAAAATTGCATCGTAAAATCATACAATTATGTAAACATAACACTAAATCAACGTCTATGATCTAATCAGTTAATTATCGTGGCGGCTATCAGTAACGGTACTACTCGTTTGATTAGATACGCGCAGACGTTTTTATTTAAATACAGTAATATTAATTCTAATTGAGAAAACTGCAATTTCGAATTATATTGTGAAAATATCGACATAATCGTATAAATAGATACGATCTAAATATAATATCTAAATATACGTATCTAAATATAGATATATTGAATTGGTATCAAAGTTCAAATTTTGGGATTAAATTCCAATTAATAGTACATTTTATCTCAGCCAAAGTTTAGTTCGCTAGAATTGTGAAGACAATTATAATTTCAATTTTGAAATAAATAAAAATAAGAAATCCTTTTTTATTTTTGTTTCACTTTTTAGTTATCACACATGTGTTTTTAAATTTATTGACGAAGAGAGTAAAAATTCTAAGTACGCAAATCATGTCGCGTAAATTATTCTTCTCTATCTTTTTTTCTTCAGCAATCCTGATTGCAATCACGTACATATGTGGCGTAGATAGTCGAAGCTTATTTGCCGATCATTATCAGAAAATGCAATCATTTACATGTGCATAATTTGTTTAACGCACTTTAGAATCTCGTGAGTTATCGCTTTACCTGTCGGCAGGTAGTTCGGCTGGTCTTGGTTCGTTCAGCTTCGTCGCTTCGTAGAAAAGCGACGAGGTCGCCTCGTAACTCGATCCCGAGAAGCGATTCCTATGAATTTTCATGATTTGCTAGAATCGACCGTAGTTTACGCGGAACCAGTCCGTGTTTTCCGCGAGTCCATTCTCGCACACAGCGCGCGCGGGAGAGGTGTAACCCCATGGCAGGTACACCTTGCCCCAGAAAAACTGGTAACGGTACATTATTCTATATCTGCATATGCATTATATAATGCATATGCAATATGCGATAATTGTTTTACGTTTGCTACACAGCGCGTTTATCTTATTATCAATACCTCGCCGTGGCGTGTCTTATCGTTATGTTGTGCGAAAATATATCTCACGTGTGCAAAATATAATTAATATAATTAAAACAACAGTAATTATAGTTATGTATAATTACTAGTGCAAATTTTCTTTTTGCATTTATAATGAGATTGTACACATATAGACACATTAACATATGCCAGTATTGATAAATGCACTTTTGCTTCAACGCGTTAAGTATTGTAAAATAAATTTTTTTTATTATTGTTACTTAAAAACTTTCTTAAAACTAAATATATCAATTCCGCCGTGCTAAGGTATGTGATGTCATACCTGGCTGCCATCCTTCTGTACATTACAAGGTCTCAATTACTCTGACGTAGTCATGAAACGATCGATAATAAGCTCGTCGGAGTGCTACCGTAAAGCATACCGGCGTCCGTGGATGCTTTAAACGATACGGACCAATGGTAGAACCAGCATTCAACAATGCCACGCCCCGGCAATCTTGGAGAGATCAGTACCTGTACCAAAAGGATGCTGCCAAGGCAGGTCAGAAATTGTCCCTGCAGCCCAAGCCGATATCAATTCTTCCCGTGTCAATATTAAAACCTTCGTGCATTCGAACGGTTTGAATGAAATTGTCAAGAAGGTAAAATATTCAAATACAATGACGAATTAGTAATAAAAAATCTATTTCTATTTTTCTTTTTAATCACGTACAATGCTCGTTGAAGTTGAATAGCTTTTAAGTTCAAAAAAGAAATGGGAAAAATTGATTATTTTGAAACCGAGATATCTTGATAGGGCAGACCACACTTCTCCGACGAGTGGAGCGTGCCGCAGAAAATGTGCAACGGGTAGCCATTATTATTGCAACATCACGTAAGATGGTGGACTACGTAAGAGAGTAACAAAAAGAGAAAAATCAAGAAAATAAAAAAGCGGATGTATGATTAAAGAATTTGAGGAAAGAAAATAGCTATGCGATAAAAGACAAGATTACAGAGAGTTAATTAGAATATTATTATTATCGTCTAGAATATGCTTGTATTTTTTAAATTACACATGATTACTCTCGAGTATTGAAGATTAAATCTTGTATTTCACATTGTCACAGGTGTGCCGTGAGTTTGATTGTGCAATAATAATGCAGACTCTGCAATGTTGCAATAAGCGTAGTAAGCATTGATCAATGTTAACAAAGCGAGGCTATGTTCTCCATTTGAATCATGTCTAAAGTCTCTCGCGTTACTTCAAACCGCAATTGCTGACTCAAGGATTTCAACGTTTTCAGATGCAAAAAGTCTGCTTCTTTCGATCAAAGAAATAAACACAACACACTAAAGTATTATTTAAAATAACACGTTGTGAATCTTTTGCAAATATTTCCATTTATGATAAATAAAATGTTAAAGCAATCTCACATATGATTTTGAGCGCTTTTAATTTGCAAAAATGTAAATTATTATGTTTTAATGTAGCCAACAAAAATTTTTGAGTTTTAGAAATGATAAATTTTGAAAACAGTAAAATAGCTGAGTAAGAATTAAGCGCAATTGATATAACGTATAATATATAAAATTAATTAAATAAAAATAAAATATTTTGTTTCTAGTTCGAGTCTTCTTCAACGAAAAATCGTGCGAACTACAAGAACAAGTTTGCAAAATACATATCTTATTTAAATTAATTTTAATATAATCAGCAAAAGCATATTTAATACATTTCTCTCAGTCTGCCTAAGATCAAATAAATGTAAATTTTCTTATAAAACAAAATTAACAAAATTAAGATAAAAATTAAAAAAAGTAATATTAAGTAGATAAGTGTATGTTTTCACGATTTTCTGAGACAGCTTTTTCGTCTGTAGTTTTTCAGCACGATGGTTGCTGACCGTCGTGTGTCTTTCAAACGCACTCATGCGATTCTAATAATTATGACAAAGAGTAAATAAAAAATACGATGAATAATATGTGGATAACAAATAGCGGTTGAGACGAATCGTTGCTTACTTGGCAAACTAACCCAACGGGTCTGCGCGGAATCTATATGATCTA